ATACAAGTCAATTAAAATAATCGCCAATTTTGGTGCGCGTTGTTACATTGCCTAGTGACCTAGCGACCTAGTGACCTAGCGACCTAGTGATCTAGCCAGCATTGGTGCCACCATGAGCGGGCCAAGATTTTTGCTGCTCTCCCTTTCACAATACAAACTCTGCAGTTGTCCTAAAATACCATTCTTCCATAGGAAGAAAAAAAAAATGACACCTGGCTGGACCGCACATCCACTTCCATTTCTTCGTCACTGACATAGGCGTAACTAGAGTGTTTGGCGCTAGGGGATAAGATTCATTTACCAACTTCATCTCTAAAACACACTATATTCATCAATTAATACTATCAAAGCCCATTTTGGTGCCCCCCGCTATTCTGGCGCAGGGGAGCATCTGTTCCCTCTGCTTCTCCCTAGCTACGTCACTGGCTTCTGGCACTGCCCCCACACTCGAAAATCTGAAATGCCCCCTTGCGGAGGCTATTTTCTGGAGAAAAAAACAACAACACTGGGCAGAGCAAAGAGAATGGCGCAAAAAGGGCAATCTTAATGGGTGCCAACATCATGGGCGCTAAAATATTTATTCGATGAGACCTTAATAGTGAATACAAATATAAAATTCAGAAAAACAAGGGGCGACACAAATTGTCTTTTTTACTGCTCCGATCCGGGGGGGGGGGGGGGGGGGGTTTTTATTTACTTAGTGGAACTATTTTCGGGTTACCTTAATAGTGAATACAAATATAAAATTCAGAAAAACAAGGGGCGACACAAATTGTCTTTTTTACTGCTCCGATCCGGGGGGGGGGGGGGGGGGGGTTTCTATATACTTAGTGGAACTATTTTCCGGTTTCAACCCAGGTGCCGCTTGTCCTCGGCGTGACCTGGCCCTGGGTTGGTTCGGCTTCATCACAGGGGCGCCGCGAAATATGACAGACTTTTCATAAGTTTATTTCCACTTTAGAGACCTTAGTTCATGCTCTAACTATAGAGGAATAACCCTGCTGTCCATCCCAAGCAAAGTATTCAACAGAATGCTGATAAACAGAATGAGGAAGGCAATCTTAGGGACCAACAAGCAGGGTTCAGAAAAGACAGATCCTGCACAGACCAGATTGCCACACTGAGAATTATTGTGGACAATCTCTGGAGTGGAACTTGCCACTATACGTCAACTTCATTGACTATGAGAAGGATTTTGATAGTGTCGACAGACAGACTCTGTGGAAGCTGCTTAGACACTACGGGGTACCACAAAATTTGACAGACATAATTAAGGCTTCTTACGAAGGACTATAGTGCAGAATTGTCCACGGCCAACAAAGAACTGCGGCTTTTGGGGTACAGACTGGTGTCAGACAGGGGTGTCTGCTTTCGCCTTTCTTATTCCTGCTGACCATTGATTGGATAATGAAAATGTCTACAGAGCAGAGGAGAAATTGTATCCAGTGCACATTTTGGAAACAGCTTGATGACCTGGATTTTGCGGATGATCGGGCCCTAATATCACACACACAGCAACAGATGCAAGAGAAAACCAATTATGTAGCACAGTACTCTGCCTGAACATCCATAGAGGAAAAAGAAAGTCCTTAAAATAAATTCATCAAGCAACACACCTATAGCACTGGAAGGAAAAAACCTTGAGGAGGTGGATAGCTTTACATGCCTCGGCAGCATCATTGAAATACAAGGAGGGACAGACGCCGACATAGGAGTGGGAGATGGTAAGGCAAGAGCGGCATTTAACCAGCTAAAAAAGGTCTGGAGCTGCAGCAATTTGACCCTCCAGACCAAGGTCAAGGTATTCAATACCACAGTTAAACCTGTCTTGCTATATGGAGCAGAAACATGGCGAACAACAGCAGCTGGTTCAAAAAAGCTACAGACGTTTATCAACTCATGTCTCCGAACGATTTTACAAATCCGCTGGCCCAACGTCATCACCAACGAGGATCTCTGGCGGCGCACACAACAAGAACCAGTGGAAGAGTTAATCTGCCAGCGCAGATGGAGATGGATTGGCCACACCCTCAGAAAGCCCACATCAAGTATCACGAGACAAGCCCTCACTTGGAACCCCCAGGGCAAGAGAAAAAGAGGTCGACCCAAAATGATTTGGAGAAGGGAACTAGAGGCAGACACCAGAAGGAGTGGGCACAACTGGGGAAAGTTGGAGAGACTTGCCCAATACCGGGATGCCTGGAGAGCCTTCGTTTGTGGCCTATGCCCCAGACGGGACGACAGGCGATGACGATGATGATGAAATCGAATGAGACATCGAGCGGTCTTGGTGCAAACACTTGAGTGACCACTGTGTGCAGTTAATAGATAGCACTTGGTGCCCTACACACGATTTAGAATTTAACAGAGGGCGCCTGGTTAAACCTAAGTTTTACAAAGGGGTCGGGAATCGAAACTTTTTTGGAAACACAGGCGTACCCATGGGTGGAGAATATGTCATACGCACGTTGAACATTCGGTGGACACAATATTAAGGTAATACTGCAACTACTTAGTACTATTTAGGGCAATATCTAGCCATTCTAGTGAGTTCATTTGTCAATACACATTGTGACGAAAATTCCTACAAAACATTGCGTGATATGTTTACGGCATTAGAGATATAAAAAGCTTTTTACCGTCAGGGATTCATTATAATTATTGTAGAATTTTTGAATAAATGTACATCCTTTGGGTTAAGATCCCCCCCCCCACCTCCCTGTTAAACGCGCGCAAAATCTCCAAAATGGACATACTATAATGATGACCCTCTGATGGTGTATCTGAAGATGTGCTTTAAAAAAAAGTTGCTTATAATAATAAAGTTTATTTGAAAAACACGCTTCATCCCCAAAAGCTCGAAGCGCGGTACAAAGTCAACCATATTAAAACGAGAAATAAACACTCTAAAATTTACCACATTTAAAAAACAGTCGCAACAATATAAAACTACATACGAGCATACCAAGTCAAAGACTTTCATCCGGTTTCAACCATAAGCAACACAAGCCAATATAGTTTAACTGAAAAAAAGATGGTAGACAGCATCACCCCAGAAGGTGTTTGCGAAATAGATGTGTTTTTAAATCGGTTTTAAAGGACTCCAGTGTCTGGCTGTTTCTGAGAGCGAATGGAAGGGCATTATGGTGGAGAGTATCGTCCGAAAAAACAGTATACTCCTTAAGTACTTGCTGAGAGAGACAACGTGTCATTCTTTTATGGAAACATTAGCGGGACGAAAAATGAGGGGGGAGAGGGGGGGGGCGGGCCTTAAATGAGGTCTATTTGTTAAAACACGTGAGTTTGGAGGATGACTTCAGAGATGAACGCATTAATAATGGAAAATGAAGAGCGATTATTGATTGTAACTGACATTAAATAATGTACAGCCTCTTTATATTTACCATGCCTTTTATCTTTATAATTACATCTATATATTTTAAAAAAATCCTTTTTGATTATCATTTTTTTTTTTTAATGTGCAAAATATAGAAAACGTTTAGGCTACCTTTACATATTTATTCAACATGAACAATTGAGAAAATTGAGAAACAATATAAATAACTAGTAGCCTTGCCTACATTTAAAATCAATAGTTGTATAAAGGGGCCATCTATAATGACGTCACGTGGTGTAGGAGGGAGAGGGTCTCACATTTTTGTAACAATGTGTGACGAGGAGATGGTTAATCAATGTGACGTCACATTAAAAGCGGAACATTCTTGAACAAAAAAAAATGCATTTGATAAAATTAAATTACAGACAATTTTAATATTATTCTTTAAAAAAAAAATGATTATTTTTAATTATTTTATTACTAATCTAGGATTACTGAGAGAATCAAAACAGGTATGCGAGGTCCGAGAAATGGCATCTGATCAAGTTAAAGGACGCCACGGGGGGGGGGGGGGGGG